GTTTTACGCAAAAATGGCCTTACAGGGTGTGTAACTGAGGACACAGGGGCCACCTCCATGAGGGTTCCTGGCAGAGGCTGTGGGGGCAGAGTTCAGGGGATAAACTAACCACAGATGTGACAGATGCCGGTACCTGCTGGGCGGGGAGGCAGGACTGGGGCATCACTTCCTGTGGGAGAATGAGGAGAAGGAAGATATAGGGTTAAAATTTTCTGACCTACACCTTCCAGCCCCCAGCACTCAGTCCTCTCTTTCGTTACCCAGGTGGCCCTGTAGGTTACCTGCTCCCGAGAAGCTGCTCCAGAGGACTGTTGAGCAATGCTGTTGTTAAGATGACCTTGAACTTGACCCTCAGTGGAGAGCTAATGGACAGGATGACACGGAAAGTAACGAAGACAAACAATTCCACAGAGCTAGTGCTTCCCAGTCAAACCCAGTAGGAGCACGGAGCGTGACTGCCGGCTCCCTGCGAGCTTGTGCCACTGTTACACACTGCCATCCTTGTTGTGACTTTATGAGCATCGACTTTGTCCCATTACTGCAGCCATTCCTGGACCCAGTGTTGCTAGTCCCGACCCAGACTCCGAGCCTCGGTTGTTCACCGTACCTGCCCGTCTTCGGTGCGGGTTTGGCATCTGCTCAGGACATCGCTGTGCCCTGTGCTGTGCCATCCGCTCTCCACAGAGCCCAGCACTCAGCACCAACCTCTAATTGCAGGCCCAGTTCTCTGTGCAAACAGCTGCGGGTAATACAATGAGACCATGGATCAGAGAAACAGATGAGCTGGGCTAATGAAGGCAGTGAGTGTCAGAGTGGTAATGAGCTACTGTATTACAAACGAGCATAAATTACATTGTCACTGCTGTTTACAGCTTTGCATGACACGGTGCCCTGCAATTATGTCTATTCAATTATTGCTTTTAGAGAGTTTTTCAATAAAGATTTCTCTCTGTGGCCAAACAGCCCATTTGGAGCTTCCATGGTGTGTGGCATTCAGAACCAGCCATGAGACAGAATTCATCTCTTTGGATCTAGAAATCTCAGAGCCAAGTGTCTGAAGCTGGAAACTTTGAGTGAAATGCCCCAGTGCTCAGGGTGAAACGGAATGCGGCTGACTTCTCTGTGCCCCGAGAGTTTGAGTCGCATTGCAAATATCGTGGGGTTTAGTTGGCTTACTACAAATAATAAGCGAAAAACACCCAGACTGAGAAACAAGACACAACCAGAATATTTTATAAGGGCTGAGAAAATCCTTTCTCAGTTTTAAAGCATACAGTACACAAACATTATCTTAGTGATCTTAAAAACCTGGAAACTCTTAACAAATATCCTCATAACTATATTATTCTTAAATATAACTAAAAGTATGTTCTTTGTGTCATTAAATATCCAACCAGGGTTTAAATTTCTCACTGTTTGGGCTTTTTACCCTCCAGTGTGTCATTTACAGATGCCACACCTTTCCTTTCTGTAGATCGGCGGGACTGCCTTTCGGTCCCTTTCTTTCCACCGAAGTTAGCAAGTTCTGTAATTACATTTAGTTTTGCTTTATTCCTACAGCTGCTCACTCTGTCATGATGGAGCTTGGTTTTCTGTAGGAGTCAAGCTAAGTAACCTGATTATGGAGACAGACTAGGCTTAGCTGGTTTTACAATTGAAGTGTGTTCCCAGCCCGGTGCAAAGTTCCACCCCTGTGGGCTGTGAGAAACGCACTTAGAGTCTGAAAGACTGGAAGCGCACGTTCCTTTCTAGCTACAGTGGAGGGGTGAGGACCGCAGCCCCCGGGCATGAAGAGGGGCAGCAGCATCTTCTTCTCCTGTGCTGTTTCCACGGCAATACGCGGCTTCTTTCACAGCTGCTCTCCCAGAGGCGATGAGGCCAAGCCTGTGTCCTCACAGTGGTTTCAGATGTTTGCAGGAAGGGCGATCACGCAAAAGGTGTGCTTGGGGAAAACCTGGCACACGTATGGCACCTGTGGATCTTCTTAGGCTCCTGCTTGGATCTAGGTACAGTCTTGTTAGGAATAAAGGGAAACACAGGAAATCGTCCCACCCACTCCTCACTCCCTCTGGCTGCTGTGGAGCTCAGGTGTATTACAGGAAGCTGCCACACTGTGAGGAGCCACAGCAGCCTCCGGAGAAGAAATGAGTTCCTCGTCACAGCGTGGTCTGGAGGCAGGCTGTGGAAAGCTGGCTCTGTGGGACTGTCACCTGGAGGGGTCACTTGCCTCATGTCACTCATCAGTTCTCCCAGCAGCAGAGCAATGAGCTCTGCACAAAGAGAAGACTCAGGAGCAGGGTAAGTGACCCTTGTGACCTTGGGGGATGGGGCTGGTGAGGAGGATCCCTGAATGCCTTGGGACAACACTGAACCCCTCTGTGCATTGGTGCCAGCACCATTCAACCCTAGATGTCCTGTAGACAAGAAAGCCCGGGCTTGCAGCTGCTCTTTGCTGTCATTTAGTGGGTGTTACTTCTTTGTGTCAGTTAAATGCACACTCAGCGGTTCTCAGGGGGAGCCTCTCCTTGGGTTGGAGAAGTGGACTCTCCTTGGGTGGGAGCAGACAGACACCAGGGCTTAATTATTTTCTGAAAGTTTCTCAAGTCCTATTGAAGAAAGTACCTCTTTTTTTTTTTCTTCAAGCAAATCATTTTGCAGGCAACTCATCACTTTTGTTCCTTGTGTCTATTTCTTTAGAAATGCATATAAAGATAATTTAATTTTTTTTTTTTTTTTTTTTTTTTTTTTTTTTTTTTTTTTTTTTTGCTTTGGAACACATGGACTAGCTAACCAAAATAGGGATGTTACAAAAAATGACTATGGCCTGTTTTCTATTCCTAGAGTGTTCTCATTCCAGCCTGGAAAACAAAGATAACCCACATGAGGGAGGTGTTGGCTAGTACAGAACAATTTTACTTGATTTACTGTGGTGTTATGCTGCATGCAGAAATGTGTGCGGTGTTATATACATGGGCAGATGAGTACTACATCTACTAAGACACAGTGCAGAATTCATCAAAATAGAGCTGGCAGTCACCCTCGCAGTGCCACATAAAATTTGCTAGGAACATTTAAGTCAAAATGCATCTATAAACAGCTTAACTTTATGTCTATGACGCTGGTGATGGATAGCATTTGTATACTAAGACAGCCTTGTGCTGTTCCTACAAATACAGATATACTTGGTGCACTTCAGACTCTGATCATTTTGTTGCAAGCTTTAGGCTTATAGAAGAAGTCTCAAAGGCAAGTGTCACCATTGGTTTCTGGCTTAGACTCCTGGAATGATTTTGAGGAGCTATCTTCTTGTTTTGGGGGCAATACTCTGACCACTTTGGCTCACCCCTGCCCTGACTTCCTATCAGCTCACAAATGGAAAGCAAGGTGGTCCCTAAGGAGGCCTGCAATAGGCTGTGCCTTGTGGGATTCATCCTTGTGTGATCTCTTCCTCTACCCTAGCAGCTGAGTTTAGAGACTTTTCCACTGAGTGGGATGCAGCCAAGTGGTGAGGTCCCTGTTCTGATGGGAGGTTATAAAAAGGTTGCAGCTTTCATGGCAGGCGTGTACTCTGTCTTCTCTGGAGTAAGCCCTTGGGGGAGGGGTTAAATGACAAATGGCTGAGGTCTGCTGCTGCAGCATGAGCCAGCTCCTGGATCAGGTTTGTGGTGCCCCTGACACTGGCCAACAGCTAGATGATAGCCCCACAGGGACTCCTCCAACCAGAGTCACCCAGTTCAGCCACTCTTAGGTGATCAATACACACAAACTGTAAGATGGTCAGTAGCAAGTTATTTCTGCTGCTTAGTTTTGAGATATTTTGTCAGACCATTAAAAATGATTTGGGACACCTGCTTGGAGAGTTAATCTATGTTTTATTTATATTTAAATATAATATTTTGTTGTTATTTTTGTGCATGCAGGGCCTTTGCATTGAGCTGCATCCCAAGTCCTTTTAATTTTTTTAAAGACAGGATCTTGCTGTTAAGAAGTTGCCTAGGCTTGGTTGGAAATTGGGATCCTTCTGCCTCAGCATCTCAGAGTTCTGAGATTACAGACAAGCACCTATGCCTGGCTGACATACATTTCTATGAACTGGATCATTGATTTTAATATTATCAGGGAAGATGTTTGGAAAGCTGCAAACTCACAAATATCAGGATATACAAGAAAATGTTACCAGTCTCTATCCATGATGCATATATATATATACTTGTGATAAGTCATAGAAAATGCATGCATGGGATTTGCTCTCAGTGATAGTTTTAGACACAAGAAATCATTTAGCACCAATGATTTAGGAATAAATAGGAAAACAGGAGAAAAGAGAAAATAAAAAGTTCAAGGAAAAAATGAAAAAGGCTAAAAGGAAGAGGAGAGAGGAACAAAAGAAAAAATAACCATCACAATATACAGTACATATTTTAGCTGTTTTTATTGCTGTGACCGGGAAACTGTAAGCATGAAGTACTGCAATTTATCTATAAAACTAAGAAGCAGCACTGAGGTGACTTTGATGTGATCACGGCTTCCGTGCCATAAACCCCAGAATAACTGCCTTCCTGTTGAGTACAGGACCCTGGAGCCTGGAGGTGAATCTCCAGGCCACAACATCCAGCAGGGACTACAAACGTTTCTCTGTCTTGCAGTGTAACAGACATGTCCCAGAAAACTGCATAAAATACATATTTCTAGATCAAAAATAAATATACTCATGTCAAATGTTCATATGGTATAAGGACAAGGCATGTAAACAAATGGGTTTGTGGATATGCAGATGGGAAAAAGTCACATTTCCAACACTGGATCAGATGCACAGCTTTGTCATGGTTAGATAAGTTCCTGAATATTATGAGTAGAATTTGGACTTTTTAAACCTGCTTATCTAAAAATTTATACATTCAGGTTCTTTTCTTTCTCCTCATTGGGAAACACTCCCTCTCCATAGCCTAGAAATCTCATATTTGGAGCTCCAGGTCGCTGCTCAAAGAAAGGTGGAGACAACCATACCAGCTTTATAGCAGGTGAACTGCACCTTGAAAGACCTTGTCAGAGCTAAGGAGCCCAGTGAAGGACTAAGAGGTTATGTCAGTGCTGCAAAATCTTGTTTCCAGCAAACTGCAACTCTCAGCCAGCAAATAGACACCACAGGGTGCTATCAGGAAGAGAATCAAGAACATAGGGACTTTGTACACTGATCATCATCATCCATGCTAATTATTGAAACCCAGAAAGAAAGTCAGTAAGTCAGAAAACCGCAAAAAAAAAGAACAAATTATCCCATGCATCCCAGGAGGAACAGCAGTGTATCTTGGAATTTAGAATGAGCAAGAACCAAGATCCAATATTTAGGGTGCGAATAACTGCAAACAACAACTACAAAAATATAAATCAGTTACAATAGCCAAGCTAGAAAGAACATTCTACAAAGTTACAAGTCTGGGCATTTCCATTCCAGATAGCAGAAGTGTAAGACACTGTCAGTGCATGCATGAGGATCATTCATGAGAACCATCTAAAATGTGTAACTGGAGGTTTGTTTCTCCTCTCTCTGGTGCAGGAGCATTCACTCATATTGAAATGTTCCTGCCCGGGGCTGCAGACTGTGGGAACTAAGAGCCACATATAAATAATTGAAAACAAGTTTGATAATCTGTCCTGACCACTTACAGGAGAGCAGTGTGAGAGCAGCCCTGGGAGGTGATATGCAACAAGTTTGCAAGAAAAATGACAGTGCTTCTTGACTAGAACAAGGAAGCAAAGAGGTCCTGCAGACAGGCAGCTTTGGCCCCAGTAGGGGAGGATGCATCGGAGAGGACACGGTGAGGGCCCGGTGGCCGCAGGCGACCTGAGCCATGCGGTGGCTGAGAGCTACGGAGTTTCTCTGCACCTAGACCCACACCCAGCCTCTGCAATTTTCCCACTGAATCTCGACTTGCATAACCCAGCTCCACGCTTCCTCTGCTCTTGAATTTTATTTGTCTTGCATACCGAGTGCAGCACTGTGGTACTGCCATCTGGAGAGACAGCATTAGCAATGGCCACAGACCAGCCTTACTAAAAGCAGCTGAAAAGTGAAGATATTGGGCCACTGTGCAAAGGTCCGCAGGTGGTAAGTTCTCGCTGGACACACCCTGAGTTCTCTTTCATGCTGCTGGGTCCCTGGGGGGATTCTTGGGTGACCTGAATGTTCTCTGTGAGGGCTTACAAGAAATTCACAGGGTTACTTATTTTATAATATGCAGATCATGACACGGCCTGGCTAAGGGAAAGTCTTCATCCTTCCTATTGGGTCAAAAAGAGAGTCTGCTTCAGTGCTACACAGTTCCAGCTCAGCAGGGTGCTCATCTTCCTGCCTATTGACCTGGCCACTTTCTGACCAAGGAAATTCAGCTTAAAAGGTCGTGCTCCTGTTCTATGTAAGGCACAATAAGGATTGGAGAATTCACTTTGATGATCTTCGGTAATGGATACTGGTCAGCCACTCTGCACAACCTCACTGCAATAAAGAGCTCATCCAAGATTATTTCGAGAGTGAAGGAGAAACCAACACTGATTTTTCAGAACTAAGGCTGGGTGAGACAGTGCAGAGGGTTAAACCGCTCAGCATGCAGATGAGTTGATTCTGCATGAAGAATGAGATGATCTCTTTACTTTTCTCTGGTTCATCACAAGAACATCCTTTTCCACTTGGCTGACAAGGACCAGTGGCTGTGTGAAGCCCGCTGCGGCCACTCATTTCCCACAAGCAGGGGCTCACCTGCTCCCCAAAGCCTTCACGCTCTAAGGTACAAGTGTCTAAGGACACCAGTGAGGAGCATGATTTCAGTTATGTTTTTCCTCATTCACACTGGAATTTCTGGATATTTTCCCCTCCTTCAAGTAGAAAAGGGAACAAGTTCAGTGATTGAAAAATATTCGGTTCCTTTGAAAATTCATGTAATAGAGCACATTACATTCTTTAAGTTCTCCAACTACTGTCCAATACAGGAGTGCTCTTTACTATCACATATGATTTTATTATATTCCCTGAACTGAAGGGTTACACTGAAGAAGATAGTTACATCTCTCTATGCCTGTTATTTTATATCTGTATCTACCTATCTACATGTTAATTTACTAAAACACATGTAACATAGTTTAATATAAACTATAGATAAACGGTACATAGATTGGGGAAATGAAATCTATTAATTCATATGTAATTTACTATATTAGTAGCTAACCAATGTATGGCACATATCAATTTATTAATTTAATATGCTATGTCTATAGCAATATCTATAATTTGATAGACTAGATGTACGGATCTAATCTACGGAAGAGACAGCTCGATGGATGAATATATAGTATATGCACAAACATACCTACACAGAAGCTGAAATAAAAAATACTACTTTTCAATATATTATTTGTGCAAGAAGTGCTGCTTCACATAGAGTATATTTTATGCCTACTTTACATATTTCTAACAAATCAAGATTGCGTTCTACTGGGCAGAAAGGTTTGTAGATAATTAGAATAAATAATGGCACTGATGTGAACAGGATCCTCATATGTTACAGACATTTATCTTGGAATAGCATATTCCTATGGGAAAACAAAGTCCCCGACTCAGTGGGTTAAAAGGGAAGTGCTCACCCTCCTCCTGGACACTGCCTTTGGGCTGGGCCAGGCACTGGAGTTGGAGGGAACTTGGTCACCCTGTGCTCCTCCGCCAGGGGGCGGCAGGCTGGGTGAAGTCACCCACAGGCTCCCTCACAAGCATTCCAGGGACGGTGCTGGCAGCTCCCCGCCTCATCCGGGTCTTTCCCTGTGGCTGGTTGGTTTGCTTTGTGCTTGGTGGCTGGACTTTTACTGTGAATATCTTTAAAAGGCCGGTGTAAGCTCTGTTGCCTTTGCTTTGCTAAAATTGATTGTTCCACAGTCTGACTTCTGACACATCCCATCCATCAAGGCCATTATGCAAGTGCCCTCAGACCCAAAGGGGGAGCAAAAATAAGCAAAAGCTCTCCAAAGATTGGGAAGAGCATCTTGTGCCCTTGTTTGATAAGGCACGCTCCCAAAATTACCCACCCTTGTCACAGTTGGTTCCAAACACTCGGTGTCCGGCCGTCTGACAGAATTGTCGCTCACAGAGGTCGCACAGGCAGACCCAGTTCCCCGTCCATTTTCCAGGTGAAGACAGCGGGACGTGGGGCTTGGCTACCAGAAGACCTAGGAAGAATTATGAGCAAATGTGATCCATCACTGACCTGATAATGCTCATCCTAGCAGTAAGAGAAAGGGCAGAGTGGACACCGACACTAGAGAAGTATGCAAGACATTCATTAGGGTCAGGAATGCAGATGAGAAGGACGGGACTTTACCACGACCGCACCCGTGTTCAGGTTTATTCCTACGCTGTGTAAGACAAGGTGGCTGAAGGGCCCAGGAGTCTGAGGCCCTGAGTTCTCCAGCGGGCTTTTTTCCTGGCCCAACCAATAAGGCTCTGTACCTGGAAAACAGCACATCTGTGACCCTGTGACCAGACCAAGGTGGAAAGTTTAATAGGTACAGAAAGCCACTTTCCAGCTCCAGATAATGGCCTCAGCCAGGTGGGCTGGTGCAGAGTTTGGGGGCTGTGGTAAACTTGAGTGTTAGCCACCCCACCTCTGTGTCTGCACTGTGAGGGTGAAAGCATGTGGGATCCCCTCGACAGCTGCAGGAGGAGCAGCCCTCTCCTCCTCTCACTGGGTGAGGCCCCTTCACACCCATCTTGCAGCCTATTCCTAAGTTTTGATGTCTGCCCTTCTCAGGGGTCTGCTTCTTCATGGTAGCAAAGAACTGCACCCTTCCCCTCACAAACCAACTAATCCTGCATTTACCCTTGCACCCTCATCTCTGGGGTCTCTCACACTCGGGGTCACTGGGCCCTGCCCTTTGTCCCTGGACTAGGACCAGAAAGCCAGAGACAGCCTTCCACCAAGGAGCCCAAAGAGCCCAGGGAGTCGGTCAATCTGCCAGTGCTAATCTGCTTCCTGCCTGGCTGTCACCTCCCTCAGCACCTGGGGTAGAGAGGGCTGGGGCCCGAGCCCTGCTTCATCTCACCACTTCCCAGTGCTCCCCTGAGATCACTGTGGAGACAGGGCCCTCCCTGGGGGAACAGTGGGTTGCAGAGTCTGTTCCAGGGCAGCTGGACTGCTGGTCTCACTGTCCCTGAGTAATAATGGATCATGTATTTTAGGTCACTTTTTGATTAGAAGCCTCAAAGTAGTTGAAATGGTCCTACGGTTGTTTACTTACTTTATATGATAGAAAAGGAAGAGTTATTTTGCTCTCGGGAAGCAACTACATAGTCACAGTGATGATGGCCAGTGTTTCCTCTGCCTTTGACTCGAGGTCAGGAATTCAGGTGTGATGCATTCATTGTCCATCAGACCTGCCGCCAGGATGCTGACCAGTGAGGTATCAGCTAGTACCTGCAGCCTTTGGGAGAGCTCTGGCCTTCAAAAAGAAGTTACCTTGGAGACCAGTTTAACAGGAAGGAATTCCAAAACTAAGAAGGATCCGTGATTCCTTCACTTGCCAGAGAGGGAGCGCAGGAGCCTCCAGCTAACATGGAACAGCACCTGGAAGAGCTACAGAGGTTGTCTGGGAAATTCAGAAAGAATTATATGCAAATGTGATTCATTCACTGACCTAATAATGCTCATTCTAGCAAAGGAAAAAAAAAATGTATCTGTCTCAAGGAAGTTCCATTAGGGAGCATGTGGCATAGGATACTGTGACAAATTTATGTTTCATTTATGGAGAAAATAAATTACAGTGTTGAGTGTTGATTCAAGAATGAAGCATTTCTCTCTGTGATCCACTGAAGATAAATTGGCTCCCGGAAGATACAATCAACCCAGCCTGGTTCCTGAATCTCAGGATGAGCATGAACACATTTCTTCAGAAACTTCAGCTCCACAATTCCATCAGGAAATGACTTCTGCTTTGCCTGTCAGCCCGAAAATTACAGGTTTCAGAACAGCTCTTATTTTTGCAATGATTTACAACAACTATGCTGTTACTCTAGCTTGTCTTTCTGGGTCAAGTTAAGTTAAACGAGTATTTATCCAAAACATCAGTACAGCGTGAGCACAGTGATTCAGAGTAAATACTTAAATATCTGATCAATCATTTCTAGTATAACTTTTTAGACCTGGAATTTCTCAGTTAAAGATTTTACACAATGTTAGATGTTTTTTGACCACTTTCTTTTATAGACACAGTGCTTGGGTGTCCTCCAGGTGGCTGTGCATGCACGCTTGGGCCTGTTCCACACTTGTATTTTGTTGAGGTTTGTTTTACTACTTCTCAAAGAGGGATCTGAACAGAATCCATCTAATCAGCAAAGGCAGAAGACCCTTTCAGGTAGGAAAAGGTGAAAATGGGATTTTTAAAGAGAAATTTCAGTGCTCCTTGACAGCACTGTCATCTACAGGCCCAGGGGCAATGCAGGGTGGTGGAAATGACCCTGCTGCTGTCTGGGTGCCCTGCAGAAGCCGCTTCCCTTGGCCTCTTGGCTGTGCCTCATCCTGGTGTGGGCTGGGGTATGGCCCCTGGGTTCTCACAGAAGCTGAGGCTACGCAGCTTTCTTTCTGTCACTGTGCCCCATGCTGCAGGTGCCCCATGTGGGGCCCACGGTACCAGTGATCAGGGCCTTGGATTGGCTTGCTCGTCTCTAAGCAGGCAGTGAAGTTCTGCGAGATGAGTTGTGATTGGATGAAGCCCTTCTGTTAGTGCCTTTCTCTTTCCTAGTGATTGGTCCCACAATGACGTGTGACATGGTCCTGGACAATGCGGGGTGAGAGGAAGACAGCAGAAGGACCTCCAGAGCAGCTACCCTGTCCCGCCATAGGAGAGGACACGGTGAGGGCCTGGTGGCCGCAGGTGACCGGAGCCATGAGGAAGCTGAGAGCTACTGAGTTTCTCTGCACCTAGACCCACATCCAGCCTCTGTAATTGTCCCCCTGTATCTTGACTTGCATAACTCAAACTCCAGGCTTCCTCTGCTCTGAATTTCATTTGTCATGCATACCCAGTGCAGCACTGTGGCAACGCCACCGGGAGAGACAGTGTTAGCAATGGCCACGGACCAGCCTTACTAAAAGCAGCTGAAAAGTGAAGACATTGGGCCACTGTCAAAGGCGTGCAAGTGGTAAGTTCTGGCTGGACACAATCCGAGTTCTCGTCCATTCTCCTGGGTCCCTGGGGGTTTCTTGGGTGACCTGAATGTTCGTGAGGGCTGACAAGGAATTCCCAGGGTTACTTATTTTAGAATATACAGATGTCATGTCATGGTTAAGGGAAAGTCTTCATCCTTCCTATTGGGACACCAAGAGGATCTGCTTGACTACAGTTCCAGCTCAGCAGGGCACTCGGCTTCTTGCCTATTGGCGTGGCCACTTTCTATAGCAGCTAACCAATGTATGGCAGATATCAATTTATAAATTTAATGGGTTTTGTCTATAGTAATAGCTACACATATGATAGATTAGATGTACGGATCTAATCTACAGAAGAGGTAGCTCGATGGATGAATATATATAGTGTATGCACAGACACAGCTACACAGAAGATGAAATAAAAATTCTACTTTCAATATATTATTTGTTCAAGAAGTGCTGATTCGCATGGAGTATATTTCTTGCCTGCTTGCACATATTTCAAAGAAATTGATATTGTGTTCCACTTTTTTTTAAAATTTTATTTAAAAGGAAAAAGAGAAAAAACAAAACAAAACAAAGCGGTGTAAGGGTACAAGTAATGCAGAACTACAAAAAAAGTAAGAAATCACCAGTTAATAGATTACACATTATCATCTTAGAGATAGTTGCCCAAGTCACAGTATCAAAGCATACAAAGTGGACATTCAAACAGAGAGACTGCAAACACTTGTGTTCAATGATCCAACAAAAAACATTAATATGGTCAGCTATTTAACACCCCTAAACACACTTGCAGTTGTATCCTTTAGAGCACTTTTTTTCCCTCTCTTTTTACAACAATATTTACACATTTTGGGTTTTATTACTTCTTAGTTCTTATTACTTTTTTTTTTGGAAGAGAATAAAGTCAAAAATGGCAAAACAAACCTGTCAGTCAAAACCAAGGATAGACATAGTACCTGATGTAAAAACAGAGTACAAGGCTATCAACAATGGTTACCATAATGCCTCTTGCTTCCTTAAAAAGAATTGTCTATCTCATCAGGTATTATAAAGTTGAACAAAACAGTAGAGAACAAGACCAATAAAACTTAAACATTGTAAACATTACAGGACTTTCAAAAAAGATAATAGTCAAACCAGAATGGGCATCTTAGTGAATCTTATTGCCTTCAAAGTAGTTGCCTATACCCTCAAACTTGATACTATCATACAAAATGAAACAGAGTCTAATCAGTCAAAACAAGATAGTGGGAGTACTGTAGGACTTCAAAACAAGTTAATAGGAAATCAAAAAAAGTTACTATAATATATTCTGCTAATGTTTTAAATTTTTCCCCTTAATTAAAAAAAAACCATAAAAATAACTAAATAATTTTTAATGAATAAGGGAGAGATTAAGATAAAAGAGGACATAACAACATAACAATACAGGTCAAAGTAAGACTGTTTCAGCAACCTAGTGCTTCACCACCAAATAACCCGACTTAATAGTAGTTACCATAGTGCCTGTCCTTTTCCTTGAAATATTTGAATATAACTTCATATACTATAGCTTCAAATATTTCCATATCATGAAGCCCAGAATAAAGCCTTTCCAATTAACAAGTGAAAACTTTATAAGGCTTCAAGGCCACATAATGGGGAATCATGATTACCACATACTTTTATATATTTGAATCATTACTTACATTAGGGAAACTATTTGGTGTTCACACATGCAAGATTGATTTATTTCACTTATGAGTATGGTCTCAAGCTGCACCCATTTATTGATAAATATCTCAATGTGATCCTTCTTTATAGGTAAGTTAACACTCCATTGTACAGAAATACCACAACTTTTTTATCCATTCCTCAGTTGATGGACACTTGGGTTGTTTCCAAGATCTGGCAATTACAAATTGTACTGCTATAAACATAGGTCCACATATATCACTGTGGTATGATGCTTTCAGTTCTTCTGGGAATATGCCTAGAAGTGGAATAGCTGGAACAAATGGGACTTCCAATCCCAGGTTTTTGAGAAATCTCCAGACTGACCTCCACAAAGGTTGTACCAGTCTATACTCCCACCAACAATGTAGGAGAGTTACTTTTTCCCCACAGCCTCTCCAGCATTTGTTGTTGCTGGTTTTCTTGATCCTGGCCATTCTTTCAGGAGTGAGATGGAATTTCAGTGTGATTTTAATTTGCATTTCTCTAATGACTAATGGTGGTGAACATTTTTTCATGTATTTATTTGCCATTTTTTTTCTTCTTCTGAGAAGTGTGTATTCATCTCAGATGACCATTTTTGGATTGGATCTTTGAATTTTGGGGGGTCTGAGTTTTTTTCATTCTTTATATGTTTCAGACAAAAGTGCCTTGTCTGAGGGGGAGTTACTAAGATATTTTCCCAGTTTGTGGTTTATCTTTGCACTATGATTTCTTTTGACATGAAGAAACTTTTTAATAAGAAGTGGTCCCAGTTATTGATTCTGGGAAGTATTTCCCGTGCGGTTTGAGTCCTGTTCATGAATTGTCTACCTACCCCTATGTCTTCAAAGTTTCTACCCAATTTGCTTTCCAATAGATTTAGTATTTCTGTTTTAATGTTCAGATCTTTGACCCATTTAGATTTTAATTTAGTACATGGTGATAGGCATGGGTCTAGTTTTAGTTTTTGGCAAATGGAGAGCCAGTTTTTCCAGCACCATTTATTAAAGAGACTGTCATTGTTTCAGTGAACCTGCTTGACTCCTTTATTAAAGATAAGGTGGTTGAGTGTGTTTGTAGTTGTGGTTGTATCTTCTAATCTATTCCATTGATCTTCGGCTCTGTTTTGATTCCAGTACCATGTTGATTTTACTACTGTTGCTTTGTAGTATAACTTCAAGTCAGGGATTGTGATACCTCCTGTATTGCCTTTGCTGCTTAGAATTCCCTTTGTAATTCTAGGTCTCTTCTGGTTCCAGATGAATTTTAGGAGTGATTTCTCTATATTTATAATGTATGTTGTGGTATTTTTATTGGGATTGCATTGAATCTGTATAACAGTTTTGGGAGAATGGCCATTTTCACAATTTTTATTCGTCCTATTCATGAGCAAGGGATGTCTTTCCATTTTCTGAGATCATTTTCATTTTGTTTTTTCAGTGTACTATAATTTTCCCTGTATAGGTCTTTCACTTGTTTCATAAGAGTAATTCCTAAATATTTGATTTTTTTGCTTGCTAGTGTGAAGAGTGTGGTTTCTCTTATTTCCCTCTCTGTGATTTTATTGTTAGTGTATAGGAATGCTATTGATTTCTGAGTATTGATTTTGTATCCAGCTACATTACTGAATTTATTTATTATATCTAAGAATCTTTCAATGGAGTTTAGGGAGTCTTCTATGTAGAGTATCATGTCATCTGCAAACAAGGATAATTTATTTTCTTCTTTTCCTGTCTTTACCCCTTTTATTTCTCTCTCTTGTCTAATTGCTCTGGCTAGTACTTCCAGTACTATATTAAATAAGAGTGGTGATAAAGGACATCCTTGTCTTGTGCCTGATTTTAATGTAAAGGCTTTCAATTTTTGGCCATTTAATATGATACTGGCTGTTGGTTTGTCATAAATGGCCTTTATTATATTGAGGTAAAGACCATCTATTCCAATTTTCTGTAAAGTTCTTATCATGAATGGATGTTGGACCTTATTGAAGGCTTTTTCTGCATTTATAGAAATGATCCTGTGATTCTTACTTTTGGCTTTATTGATATGATGGATTACATTTATTGATTTACGTATGTTGAACCATCCTTGCATTCCTGGGATGAATCCCACTTGGTCATGGTGTATAATCTTCTTGATGATTTGCTGCATCCTATTTGCCAATATTTTATTGAGGATTTTTGCATCTGTGTTCATTAGGGAGATTGGTCTATAGTTCTCTTTTTTAGTTGGGTCTTTCTCAGGTTTTGGTACTAGAGTAATATTTGCTTCCAGGAATGACTTGGGAAGAATTGCTTCCCTTTCAATTTCATTGAATAGTTTGAGAAGTGTCGGCATTAGGTCTTCTTTGTATTTCTTGTAGAATTCTGCAGTGAATCCATCTGGCCCTGGGCTCTTCTATGTAGGCAAGGGCTTAGTTACATTTTCAATTTCATTAACAGAGATTGGGTTATTTCAGCAGTTTTACATCATCTTTATCTAGCTTTGGTACTTCATATGTTTCTAAGAATCTGTCTTTTCTTCTGTGTTATCAAACCTTTGAGAGTAGAGGTTTTCGAAATAGGTGTTGATGATCTTCTGTATTTCTGTAGAGTCTGTAGTGATTTCACCTTTTTCATTTCTTATTAAATGAATTTTAGCTTTTTCTTCCCGTTTTTTAAATAAGGTTGGCTAGGGGCTTATCGATTTTATTTATTCTTTCAAAGAACCAACTCTTTGATTCGTTGTTTCTTTGGATTGCTTTCTTAGTCTCTACTGCGTTGATTTCTCTTCTGAGTTTTATAATTTCCTCTCTTCTTTTGGCTTTGGGCTTGAATTGCTCTCCTTTTTCTAGCTTTTTGAGGTGTAGCATCAAGTTATTGATTTGTATTCTTTCTGTTTTCCTGATGTGGGAACTCAGTGCAATAAATTTTCTTCTGAGGATGGCTTTCATTGCATCCCACAGATTCTGGTAAGTTGTATGTGCATTTTCATTTTCTTGTAGGTATTGTTTAATTTCTTCTTTAATTTCTTCTGTGACCCACTGATTACTCAAAATTGTGTTATTCAGTTTCCACGTGTTTGTGGGATTTTTGCAATATCTTTTATCATTAATTTCTAATTTCAGAGCGCTATGATCCGATAACATGCAAGGGATGATTTCAACAATTTTCCATTTGTTGAAGTATGTTCTGTGAGCTAATATATGGTCTATTTTAGAGAATGATCCATGTACTGCTGAGAAGAATGTGTATTCTGATGTTGTTGGGTGGGACATTCTGTATATGTCTATCAAATCGATTTGTTCGCAGGTGTGATTGAGTTCTGTTATTTCTTTGCTCATTTTCTGTTTGGTTGATCTGTTCCTTGATGTCAATGGCTTATAAAGGTCTCCTGTTACAAATGTGTTACTGATAATTTGAGTTTTCATTTCTGTTAATAGTTGTTTTATCTAACAGGGTGATCTGGAGTTTGATGCATATATATTTAAGATAGTTATCTCTTCCTCTTGGAGTTTTCCCCTAACGAGTATGTAGTGACCTTCTTTGTCCTTTATGGTCATTGTTGGTTTAAAGTTCACGTTGTCTGCAAACAGAATGGCTACTCCTGCTTTTTTTTTTTTTTTTTTTTTTTTGATTCCTGCTGCATGAAGTATTGTTTTCCATCGTTTGACTTTCAGTCTGTGAGTATCCTTGTGGGTCAGACGGGTTTCCTGTAAACAGCATATGTTTGGATTTTGTTTCTTGATCCATTCTGCTAGT